ATGCCAAATGTAAGGATTATTACATTATTAAATAAACTGGCAAGTTATATTTGTGGAATTGACCCAGAAATAAGAAGCCCAAACCTCATTTAATTCAGTTACATTCTTTCTTGTGTGGTTTTCATGTAAAATACAGAAATCATTTCTGTAATGGAAGTATTGTGGTTCAACAGTACCAGAGAACTGTAATGCACAAACTGCCTTCAGCCTGATGAGAGGTTATAATGATAGGGACCATACCAGGAGAGAAGAACTGAGCACAACCCCTGTCAAAAAAGCAAAATATTAAAAGCTATCAATCTTCTGTGCTTGATGCCAGGTGTAGAACTTGAAAGCTGCTGTAAGAAAAATTACTACGGTGAGCCCCGCTAATTTTGTGAATGGTGGAAGCTTCCTGTTCTGATCATTGTGCACACAGGATGTGTTTGGTGTTTCCCCACCTCCGCCCGTTCCCACACACAGTGATGTAAACATCTGCTGTGCCAATCAAGTTGCTCTAAAGCATGACGTTTTACCTTTACCCAGTTTTCCAACAAACCATTTGACAGCTTAAATATACTCTGTGACATATTATTGTTCAACCCTGTGGTTAGTTTTTATCGTAAATTGTACGAGTTCAGAGTGATCGGGGAGTTGGTCAAATTTCCATTCTGAATAGGAAATACAGCACTAGGGATAACAAGCCACTGCCATCGATTTATTAATTCCTGTTGCTGACACTTTTACCATTTGAAAACATTTACCATTCGCACATTTACCATTTGAAAACTACTTTCCTTCAATGGGTCATTTTTTCAAGTCTTCTTTTAAAATAAGCCTAATGCTATGCAACTGAAATGAATTGTGTTTTCTACTTTATCTACATCTATTTACATCAGATCACATGAGAATTACACAGCAGCTGAGTTAAGAGTTGTGGCCACTCAAAGTATAATCTGTACATGTTTCTAACTCACGAAGAGCAGCAATTTTCTCTACCAATTCTCTAACCTTTATTCCTGTCCTGAAAGTATTAAACATCCCTCTATTATTATTCACAATAATAATAATAAGTTGTCCTCCCCCCCACCACTCAACCTTCAGTAGGTTTTCCGAGAAGCTGTTCTTCATGAATGAGCTTTGACAGTGTGTCACAAAGCTATTCAGGAGCTGATATTCACTGTCAAAGCTCAAATCTCATTTTGTCCTCACTCATGCCCATGCACAGCATATCTAGGTGAATATCAATCAGGAATGTGGGAAGCCTTAGTTGAATGTTCCCCTCCCTTACCATGGGCCATGGCATTGAAACCCTTATTTTCACCCTATATGAGATCAGCTAACTCGCAAAGACCAGAGATCAAATCTGGGTCCTTTTCCTAAATCTTTTTGTGGACATTTCACCTACAAAATCCACAATAAATCCACTGTACAGTATATATATCCTATGAAGTACTTTCAGACATCTCAATGATGTTACAGGGTGCTATATCAAATGCAAAGACTATTATATTATTATATTATTATTTTTATTATTCTGTGTAGCTTCAACCATTATCTAAATTGATTCACTGAGCCATTTTGGGGAAGTAAATTGCTATTTTTTTTGAAAAAAATGATTGTGGCACAGCAATGGAAATTCAATATTTTTAGTTCTAACCAAACATGATGTCAAATACTTGTTAATCAGAAACCATTTTACGCTTTTAGTATTGATTCAACTTGAAAATTGCTAGGTTGAAAGTGCAGAATAAAACTGGTATTGGAGTTGCACTTGTGTCAAGTATTTCTTTTTGGGATCAAAATATGCCTCTGTAAGGACTAGTTGCAGGAGAATTGAAAATGTTTGTGCTAAATAAGAAAGATGATGAAGGCGCTTCCCTGAACAGTAACCAGTCTTTCTCTTTTAGATGCTGAATAAGCTGCACTGAATTTCCCGTATTATCTGTTTTTGCTGCAGATTTCCACCTTTTGAGAATTTTCCCCATCTCTTCTGAATGTGATTGTGCCCTTCCAGCTCAGCTCACAAATAGGGAAAAAAGCTCCTTAGAGCATCTGTCAGGGAATCAGTGATGTCTTTAATTAGCCCACAGGTCACTAGTCCAAAATAAACCCTGAGCCTTTCAGACACTTAACTGTTGTGTGCAATGATTGTGCAAGTTTTAAAAGCTGGTTCCTATAAACCAACTCTGTCAAAAAAAAGTCTGTTGAAAATGAGTCTGAAGTGGCACTTAGACAATAATGATATGTTTGGCTAGCCAATGAGTAGATTTATAAATGTTTAGAAGAGTGAAGAGAAGCTTTTCTATTTATTGTTTAAAGGTGATCTTCCTTTCCCCAGCATACTTTTCTTACGATTGTAAGACACCACTACATTCCTCACTCCCTGCGCTCTATTTCCAAAGTCTGACTTTAATAATAATCCTTGGTTTGATATAGAGCTTTTTCACGTCTTCTAGACATCTCAAAGCGCTTCATAGAATTGTCTGTAAAGTGAATTGACTGTATATTTGTGGGCGAAACGCAGCAGCCAATTGCGCACAGCAGTGTCCCACAAACAGTTGTGGATTGAAGTGACCAATTTTATTATTGNTTTTTTTCCGAAGGATTATTATCAGGCTAGTGGAGTAAGAAAACTTGCCCAAGGTTTCGCCCTGCTGGGAATCAAACCCAGGTCTCTCGCTTGTGAGGTGAGTGCTCTAACCACTGAGCTACAGGTCTCCTCAAGTCTGTCACAATACTACCATTGGTAAAACAATAGTTGCTCTAAAATAACAAGTTGTCTGGGAAATGGATCTATTGGCTCTTGTTCACAACTCTTAAGGTAAATCTTTCTTGTGCAACCACACAACTACGACAGACATTAAAAATAAGAGCAAAAAATCTTTTTTTAATGAATTATTATTGAGCCCAAAATGATTATTTGCTTTTCTGATTCATGGTCAAATTGCAGTTGCATTGGTCATGATTTTCCAAAGCTCACTAGATTCGGGAATTGTGCCCTTAGATTGGAAAATTCCCAATGTCACTCCTTTATTTAAGAAGGGAAGGAGGGAGAAACCAAGAAATTACAGACCTATCAGTTTAACGTCAGTTGTAGGGAAATTACTGGAATCCATCATCAGGGACAGAGAGACTGAACATTTGGAGAGGTATGAGCTTATCAAAGGGAGTCAGCATGGGTTTGTAAAGGGTAGGTCGTACCTAACTAATCTAGTTGAATGTTTTGAGGAAGTCACTAAAATGGTCGATAGGAGAGTGTCTATGGATGATCGTTTACATGGACTTTCAGAAGGCATTTGATAAGGTTCCACACAAAAGATTATAAGCAAAAATAGAGGTGCACAGAATCAGAGGTAACCTTGTGACGTGGCTCTGCAATTGGTTGGGAGGCAGAAAACAGAGGGTAGGGATTAAGGGAACGTTCTCTGATTGAGGGGATGTGACAAGTGTCCCCAGGGGTCCGTACTGGGACCTCAGCTTTTTCCCATATACATAAATGACTTGAATGAAGAAATAGAAAGTTTTATATCCAAGTTTGCGGATGACACTAAGATAGGAAGCTCAGCAAGTAGTGAAGATGGGAGAAGGAAGTTACAGAGAAACTTAGACAGATTAAGTGAGTGGGCAAAGCTGTGGCAGATGGAGTTCAATACAGGGAAGTGTGAGGTCATCCACTATGGACCGAAAAAAGATAGGGCAGAATACTTTCTTAATGGGGAGAAATTAAGAACTGTGGAAGAGCAAAAAGATTTGGGTGTCTATATCCGCAAATCACTAAAAACTAGTTCCCAGGTGCCAAACACAATCAAAAAGGCAAATGGTATGTTGGCCTTTATCTCGAGAGGCCTGGAATACAAAGGGGAAGAAATGATGCTTCAGCTGTGCTAGAGCGTTAATTAGACCCCACCTGGAGTACTGCGTTCAGTTTTGAGCACCACACCACAGGAAAGATATATTGGCCCTGGAGGGGGTGCAGCGCAGGTTCACCAGAATGTTATCAGGCCAAAAAGGGTTAAGTTACAAGAAAAAGCTGCGTAAACTTGGATTGTATTCCCTTGAGTTTAGAAGACTGAGAGGTGATTTGATAGAGGTTTTTAGGATTGTAAAAGGATTTGATAAGGTAGATGCAGAAAAGCTATTTCCTATGTTGGGGGAATGCAAAACAAGGGGCATAGTCTTAACATTAGAACCAGACCATTTAAGACTGAAATTGGGAAGCATTTTTTCACTCAAAAGGTGGTAGAAATCTGGAATTCTCTCCCCCAAAAGACTGTGGATGCTGGATCCATCCACACCTTCAAGATGGAGATTGACAGATTTTTGGTAGGTCGGGGTATTAAGAGATACGGAGAGAAAGTGGGAAATTGGATTTGAAATTCTAGTAAAGGTATAGATCAGCCCATGATCTAATTAAATGGTGGAACAGGCTCGACGGGCTGAATGGCCTACTCCTGTTCCTATGTTCCTGCACTAGTTTAGCCTTGTCAACTGATAAACAACTGACATCGAAAATTGTAGCCTGTGGCCTATACAGAAACAAACTGAAGATAGATATATGTTTGAATAAACACAATGAAGGCTATTTCCACAGTACACAATGTGACAGTATTGCACAACATACCAAAATCATTTGCAAATCAGCTGTACGTACCAGGGAGAAAATCTATTCTGTTCAATATGTCTGGTGCCCTAGTAATTACATGACTGCTGACAAACATTAAAGGGTCATTTGAATTTGACTGAGACTAACATGAAAACAGGAAGCCTCAAAATACTGGTCTGATGCTAATTTTAATCACTATCTAACCAATAGTTTATATTATAAACATTTGTTGCATTGTGTCTATCTTGTCATTTTCAGGAATCTTTTGTTTGTCTTTTCATGCCCTTACTCACCGTTCTCCTGAAGATAGTTTTTGTTTAATAATGAGAAGAATATGGAACACTTTCATTGAACAAATACCTACTTGGTAAAATTCCAAATAACCATCACATCAAATTTGTTTCTTTTAAAAAATTAGATTTTTTTAAAAAAAGCTTTATTTTGATTTTTTTTTGCAAAACCTGAAAACAATTAACTAATTTTAAACATTTTGAAATACTGTGTAAAAAAAAGTATAAAAGCTTAGGATACTATATCCCATAAATCACTTCTACATCTGTGGGATGTAAAAAATTAAACCATAATTGCCCTGAGATTGTCATATTCCAAAATAAATATTACATGTCTCCACAAAGAGTGTGTCAGTGGATGTACACAAATTTACTGGTTAGCATTTAGCTCACAAATGTAAACAGCATGATGATCGCTGGAATCATCTATTGAAAGTCAGTTTGTCAAAGTATTGTATTCATCCACAAAGTCACATGGCAAAGCAGAGCAGCAAATGTCCTTAAAACAGGTTAAGCCACTTCCTATATCCCATGGTTGTTCACAAGGTGACAGGCACGAAAGATACCTCTCTTTACTGGAACTCCAAAGTGGCAAATCTGTAGCTATTTCTTATTGAATTGAGTTGTAAAATGGATTTGCTTTGAAAATTCTTAATCTTGGATCTGGTGTCGAATGGATCTGTGATAATCCTCCGCGTTGTTCACATGATCAGGCAAGTCATACCCTCTGAGAAAATGTCCACTGTTCTGTTGAGCGAAATAATATAGCTGTCTGGCAAACACTGGCTCGATCTAAAGATAAGGAACAATAACAGTTATTTTTGCTTGAGAATATGTTTGAAACATTTACTGTATACATATTGTTTCACTATATCACATGGTTAAAACATCGCAAAATTATCAATTCTAAAAACAGCTGTGAAAATCTGCATGCAAATTAAGACTGAATTTATGTTTCTTTCCAAACTTCCACAGAATTGTAAATTTTGATACAATGATCTTAAGTCTCAGAATAGGGCATCACTGATGACTAACATTATCCCTAAAGATGAATATACTTAGGGATGTTCTTAGACTCAAGAACGTGATACATTTTGGGGACTCTTACATACAGTCCACCACGCTCTAATTTTACAATATGAGCTGTAAGGAGACTTTGTGGGCTGAAAGACTCAAGTCTCAAAAATCCCTTTTTGTTTATGGGGTTTCAAGACCAATCAACCAAGGAACTCTGTTGAGCATGAAGAGAAGAGGCCAAAGGGAGATCACAGTTAATGAAAGACTATTCAAAATAATATCAGTGTAGCAGTTGACACCATGTCAATGACAAAGACAGCAGCAACAGGCCTAGGTGGAATAGGCATGACAGATGAAAGTCGATTTCTCAGCTCAGAAAAGGCCCATAAACTTTGACAGAATGTCAAAAAGCAAACGGCCTTCTCAATACTGCGGAAATATTCTTTTCTCAATTTTTCAATTGAATCTCATAGAGATCTTTCCTGTAATTTCACAACTAGCAAACAGGAATTCGGCCTGTGCTACCCCTGCACAGAGAATAAACCTTTTTACCACTACTTCCTACCAAGTAATGTGCTATCGCTAGATTGATCAAATGCCACAGCAACAAAATTGCATCCACCTCACCACCCCACAAGTAAAATGACAAAGAATGTGTATTATCAAAGTACATAAATCAAATAATGCAAACAATTCCAGTAGCTATTGAGCATTCAACTTATACCTATCACATGGGCTATGATTTTACATGATCATACTACGGTATTGGTATGCTATTATCAAATTAAGTCACCACTATAACCCTGATTCGTATCCATACTTTGGTCTTACCCATCAAATCACAAACACTATTTTAAAATCTACATGCTTTAAGAGCACTTACAGATCAAACATTGCATTCATAATCATAGAATATTACAGCACTGAAGGAGGACATTTGGCCCACGGTGCCTGTGCCTGCTCTATGGAAGAGCTACCCAATCAGTCCCACTCTTTCCCCATATCCTTGCAAATTTTTCCTTTTCAAGTGCCTATCCAATTCCCTTTTGAAAGTTGTTATTGAATCTGTTTCCACCAACATTTCAGGCAGTGCATTCCAGACCATAACAACTATCTGTGTAAAAAAAATTCTCCTCATTTTCCCCCTGTTTTTTTTGCCAATTATCTTGAAATCTATGCCCCTTGGTTATCAACCCACTTACCAGTGGAAACAGTTTCTCCCTATCTACTCTATCAAAACCCCTCATAAATTTGAAAACCTCTATAACTATAACCTTAACCTTCGCTGCTTTAAGGAGAATAATCCCAGCTTCTCTAGTCTCCCCATACTACTAAAGCCCCTCATCCCTGGTAAATCTCATCTGCACTCTCACTAAGGCCTTGATATCCTTCCTAAAGTGTGGTGCCTGGAATTGGACACATTATTCCAGCTGAGGCATAACCTTTGCCATTACCGCATTCACACGGGTAAAGCTTTATGGTGAAAATTTGCGACCGATGGTGTGTTAATCGTCAGTGGTAATAAGAAATCACATCATTGATAAAATGCAGTCAGTGAGGTCAGTCAATAACTTACAACTCCCCCAATTAAGTCCTAATGGTTAGGCTTGAAGTTGGCTGTGCCTACATTGGAATTGCCAGTGACGATTAGCAAGATACAGATGTAACTCCAAAAATAAATTAAATTTAAGTCAGTATTCTGCTGACCGTCATTTAAGGTCATGGCTGGTAACTCCAATGGTGGCTTCGGACTTAACCAATGCACTGGAGTTGGATGAGGGGGTACTCACATATTTAATTATCGCCTGGTCTGATTGACTGTATTTATTACTGAGGTGATAATTATCAACAGTAATAAATACATCACATATTGCAATTTTTGCTCCCTTGCATATTATTACCAATGGATGGATCAAATCACAAGTCGCCTCTTATTATTACTACGCTGATTTCTATTATTCTACCCAATCATTACAAATCCCAGATTCCACATACAATACAAATCCTTAATTTATTCTGAACAGCCTATTTTGCCACCACACAGATATAAACCTGCCCATTAACACAATACATCCATAGATTCTACAGGAACGCGTTTGTAAAATTTGCAAAAAAATCTAAATAGCAAATGCTGGATGTGTTGCAGTCGACTCTCCGTTGCCAACGTCACGGAAGTTAAAACAGATTGGTGTTTCAGCACAGTTCTAGAGGACACATTTAACAATACAGTTAAATGTATCACCTATATTTGGAGTGGTGGTGAGTGCCAGAAATGAAATGCCTAGAACCACATGTAAATTTCTTCTTAGCTCTATGGGGTAAACACTCCTTCAGCCATTTTACATACACCAGGGACAACATAAATCACCATCTGCTCATGATTTTCCAAACTTATACTGGAGTTTCCAATCAGCACCAAGTATTTATTTTTAAAATGACCCCATGCCTCAAAATGAAACAATTGCTGCTTTGTTTTTTTGGATCAGTGCTCAACCTATGTCCTTTTCCTGCAATCAGGAACTTCAAGAAGTCCAACCTTGCTATCTTAAGTGGTACATCAACATCTTTACTGTCAGCAGGAAGCTCCTGGTCCTGGCCCCTGACAAAGATGAATTCTAATTTTGAATGGAAATTAACTTGGGCAAAGCTAAAGGCTTGATTAGTTAAATGGCCTCCTCTTGTTCCTTCTTTTATTGTTTCATATATTGCTACAGATAAGGCAACAGGAGTTGTCCGTATGAGTGTCTTGTTAAAACATGGTTGATAAAATGCAGTCAGTGAGGGCAGTCAATAACCTATGACTCCCCCAATTCTGTCACAATGGTTAGGCTTGACGTCGGTTGTGCCTCCATTAGTTTTGCCAGTGCCGATTAGCAAGATACAGACGTAACTCCAAAAATGAATATTCACATATGTTTTAAACCAGACAAACATGTTACACAATGTCAAATATGCACAGGTTATGAATCCAGATGTAAAACTGGTTATTTAATTATTGCATAATTAATTATTTCAGAAGAGTTTTTAAAGCTTTGATGGCCAGTGTTAGATAATTGCCTAGTTATGACTAGCTGTTAACTAATAACGCAACCAAGTGATAAGGTAAAGCCCAGTCCCCAAATTTTCCCTGGTGTGGGCCAAATTTCAATTCTATTATCACAGTTTAAATGACACCATGTATCCACATTCTGACTATCTGCCTGTCCTATTAGGAAATAACATTATGGGATACAGTACACAGGTAGTTTGGGACATATGTGCATGCAACCGCCAGGAAGGTGGAAGGTGAACTAGATAGACCTTGGTCTTTTTTCGTCTAGCTTTTCTTATGTTCTTATGCATCAGGCTCCAATGTGGAAGTTCAATCAGGGCAAAATGTACTAGTTGAGCACGTGGACATGAGATTGCCAGGAACATGTTTCTTCCTACACACTGCAACTGTCATCCAACAAAATGAGGTTATTTCAAATCTAAGTGTGTTTACTAAGCAATTGATGTAGGTGCAGTCGGCTTACGGACAAGTTAGACTCACAGAAAAGAGAATGCCAAAGAGAACGTAAAGTTAGGGAGAGAGAAATGTTAGAGAGTGAAAAGTCAAAGCGACTGAGATAGAAAGTTACTGAAAGAAATTTAGAAAGAGTCAGAAATAACGAGAAACTCGGAAAGTCGAAAAGACTTAGAGTGATATCACAGAATTATACAGCACAGAAGGAGGCCATTCGGCCAATCGTGTCTGTGCTGGCTCTTTTAAAAGAGCTATCCAAATCAATCCCACCCCTACCCGCGCTCTGTCCCCATAGCCCTGTAAACTTGTCCTCCCCAATATAAAGTTGGAAATACTCAAAGAGAGAGTGAAAGAGCCAGAGAGAAAGATACTCAGAGAAAGTCAAGAGAGAGAGAAAAACTCAGAGGAAGAGACAAAGAAACTTAGAGAGACAGAGAAGGCTAGACAGGAAGTCAGAGATGAAGAGAGATGAAAAGTTAAGAGATCATCAGAGATCGAACATCCGAGAGAAAGAGACACAGCACCACAGAACCATAAAAATCTATGAAACAGTAGGAGGCCACTTGACCTATTGTAGAAGTGTCAGTGTTTGTACCATCAATGAAGCTAGCTGTCCTAACCCCAATTCCTTGCTTTTTCTCCAAACTCACATATACCCTTCTACCAACTCTGCTTCAAAGGCCAACCCTGGCAAACATTCCATACTCTGACAAGCCTCCAGGACATTTTTTCCCAACATTACCCTTCATGTACCTAGTTATAATCTTAAATTCAAGGCTTCTTGTCTTCAAATTACCTACCAGCAGAAATATTTTTTCACCGTTTACCCTCTCAAACCTGTTCATTATCTTAAACACCTCTATCATACCATCCCTCAACATTCTCTGCTCCAACAGAAAAAGTCCTAACCTCTCCAGCCTCTGCTCATAGCTATATCCCCTCATTTCTGGTATCATCCTTCTGAATCTCCATTGTATACTCTCCATAACTGTAAAATCCTTTCTGGCCAATCATGTGAAAGAAATGAACAAGTAACGGCTGGGGTATTTGTAACTCATTTGAAGAATGTAAAAGTTGATCACTCACTCACTCCATTCATTATAAGTTGCACTCCACTACTTTCCCATTTCAAATCTATGTATTTTTCCTTCCTATTAATGATCTCCCTCCACATTTTCATGTCATTGGGAACTTACGCGTGCTGTGATTAGTTTTCTTGACCTCTGTGGATCTGGAAACTCTTCCCCAAAGCAGAACACAATCTGGAATCTTGGCAGTGGACGACCATGATATGCATAGCCTTGAAGCTCTGTTGGAAACAACAAGTCCTAACGTTACAGATTGTCAGCCATCAACACACTGTTCTAAATTGTCTTTGCGAGGAAGAAAGAGACACTTGGTAAATGCTGGATTGTTCAACAATCACCAAGATATATCTATTTCTCCCAAACACTGTGGACCTATAGTCATCCGAATATTGCCCATTTCCCCCATGGATTATCTTGAGTTGATAGATTCTATCTTCAACATAAATAATTTTAAAACATTCCTATATTTGTTCATATATTTTTATGAAATAATCTCATATAACCCCATTAAGGAAAAGGTCTTTCCCTCACCCCACAGTTATTAATATATATTTGCACAAATTGTCACAATTTTTAAAAACTGAATTATGCTAATGATTCGAGGCTAAACATGTTATTAGTGCGCGTTAAAACGTTACTTTACAATACTATTTTCTTCTACGATAAGGAGGATTTAATAAATCAGTCGAATTTATGAATATCACAGAATTTAGATTTTTTTTGTCTCACTATTTATGGTTTGAAAACTATATGTAATATGTTACCTGCTAGAAACTGTTGTGTGTCAAAAAGTTTTGTGGTTTGTTCCCGTTCCAGCTTATTAGGCCTGTCGCTGTAAGGTGCCAAAGGTCCTTCCCAATAGATTCTGCTCTGGCACAATCGTTTGGCATAGAGCCCATCAGGTAGCATCCACAGCAAAACTCCCCTCTCCAAGTGACTGAGGAGCTTTGCAACGCCCTTGCGTTCTGCACTGTTGTCTGGATTAGGAAAAAGCACCTGATCGTAGTTAGCTCCAAATTGTTTCTCCTCCAGACTCTGGCCATGGGCTATTCTACACCCATCAGGGCTTGTTGTTGTCATTTCTCTCACCAGGGTTTCTCGATAATACAAACAAATTTGTAGCCGAAAGTCTGTAAAAGCAAATTAAATTGATGTATTCAGTGCGTCAGTAAGATGAAAATCATTGGTATAAGGCTCAGCAAATAACATAGAATGGAGTTGCAAGAAGTGTGGGGTATATCCCTTTACCAGGTCCAAGTTTGTTTTCAGACACAAACTTTGTTCAATTCTAAGTGAATACTGTAGTATCTAGGGCAAAATGAGGAGCACCTCAGATTTCATTTGGCAGACCTCATGTTTTAAGATTAAGATCATCTCGACGATCTCTAACAATGACAATAGCCAGTCTTGGATATAAGCAAGATTAGGTCTAAGATTCAAGTACTAGGACTCCAAATTCAGACTCCCAATCCCAGGTTTCAGAAGTTCATAGATACAGATAAGAGTTCAGACATCAAATTTTGCCTTTTTTCTGTCATCCTTTCTTCTGCGTCTTTTTAAAAAAACTTTTTTTTCTTGTTCTCTACCTTTTCTTTCTTCCATTTGTCTTATTTTTGTTTCTCTTTTTTTTTCTCTCTGTCTTTTTTCTGTCTTTTTCACCATTTTCTTTTCATATCTTCTCAACTCTTCTTTTTCGGGATCCTTGTGTCTTGTCTCTACTTTTCATTTTCAATCTTGTTATCACATCTTTGTTCTGATTTTTTTCCCTTTCCTTTGTCTTCTCTCTACTTTAGTCTTTCTTCAAGTCTCATGTCCAGAATGGGGATAAAGGGAAGGGGCATTCAAGGGGGGTTGGTGATGGCTGGAGGGGAGACTTAGTAATACCAGGTAGGATCTGAAGTCAGACTTGTCCAATTTATAAAACTTTCGTCTCTTTTTCTGCAACCAACTGAAGAGTCTGCCATCCATTGTATGGTTGGACGCATGGCTAGATTTAACAATGGACATAAGGAGAGTGGCTTTATTGTCAGTTTTCTGACTGTTTATCCACATTTAAAGAATGACAATGGGCACAATGAAATGTAACTAGTCATGAAAGACACAATGGATCTAAAATGCAGGATTTCTAACAGAATTCCTTAACAAGGAATCCAAGTCTCACAAATAGGGAATCCTTCCAGAAAAATGGAAGTACCTCACACCGAACCATGGGTTCTCCACTCTAGCACTAGCTATTTGAGAAGCAGAGATCCCACTGGTTGGGAGGTTTTCTACCTTAGAATCCCACATTTCAGACCCCATATTGTGGGCTTCACATTGCTTATCTAGTGAAAAACACTAGGAAACCAACCAGACAGTTTCATAAGTGCATTTTTCTGGTGCTCGTTCAGTTATTGCACATGAGCCACATTGCAATGTGTGTACAGAAACCCAAACGTTTATAAAAAAAAGTATGATGGGCATCCAGAAGCTTTATATAAGAAAGGAAGTGCTTTTTGTTGTGGTTTGAAGAATTGCCTTTTACCTTTCATACACCTGCAATCAAAATTCTATTTCTAGTCAATAAGTGTTAAGAAATGACTGCCACTTGCAGAATCAGTCAGGTACAACAGAGATCCATAGCAAAAAGCCCCTAATTTGAGATTACAAGGTCAGACACCTTGGAGCAGTGCCTGAATGTGGTCAAAATGACAAATATATTTTGTAGTTGACACTGCACTGCAGAAAATGCAACAAATTTAGATTTTTTTTCTAGCAACAAAAGCAGATGCAGCTTCAATCACTACCAGCTTCAATCACAGTTGCCTTCCAACAGGTTAGCTCAACTCTTCAGTTTGCTTCCAACCTGGGACATTCCTGAGGCTACATTCTGACATAGATCTATAATCATTTTATCCCATTCTTATTACTGTCACTCACAGTGATCATTTTGTTTTGACCAGATTCTGAAAAGCATTCTTCAATTTTCTGTGTTACTCGTGCAATTGAATAGTTTTATTTCCTATGGTCGCTTTGATATTACTTATGAAACCTTGGGCTCATTCTACACAGATGCAGCAATGGTATTATCCAATGCTTTTCTCGGACTATGAGCAAATGTGTGTAATTACACCAAATGATTCTTTAGCACTGAATTACTTCATTATTTTTAATTAATAAAAAGTTATTTATCAAAAGTACCTTTATTTTTGGTAAAAATACTCCAAAATCCTAAAAACTGGCAATTTTTGTTTTTGTAATATTATCAAACCCTCACTCCTAATTAACAAAGGATAGCAAATGGGATGACTCAAATGGGACTGAAATCCACACATTCTTGAAACTATACATCTCTGACCAACAATTGAGAGTTGGAAAAAAATCTCATTATAGTCTATACATGTTCAGGCTTACCTGATAGGGACAATCCTTCAGCAGATCTCATAGGTTCAATAGGAATGCCAGGGGCTTGTGGATCCGCAGGTGAACAAGCATAAAAAGATCCAGTTACCTGGTAAGCTGGAAATAATGAGAAGGGACTAGAATTACATACAGATAAAATGCACTGTTTCAACCATTATCATTTGCATAGTGTAACTAGTTTTACCTGGTAACAAGATGTAGCAAATACGTTTAAAATGCACCTCAAATTTGGTAAAGTAGAAATGTCTTGTATGAGATTATTTAAAGGAGATTTGCCTATGCAAGCATATTGACAGTGGGTTTTTTTCACCTAACTTCGCAGATGAAGGATATCGTTTTATAAATATGCATTCCAAATTATCCACAGCAACAAATTCTGAACATATGGCAAATAATTGGGTCCAGGCTTTAACACGCCTATTCTGATATTGATATACAACTGAATGAAGTGTGGATCCATTTACAACAATCCTTCAAGATACACCCATGCAAGCAAATAAGTCTAACAATTCTGGAAATGGTCATTTTTTGAATTACTGATGCAATGAGTAACTGCAGAAACCAACACTGCAGTCAGTGCTTGCCAGAGCTGCCAACTGGTTCCCCATTTGCTTAGTCTTGGAATGCACAGTAAAAATGAGAGTGACACATACTGCATAAATCAATTACTAATACGGTGACTACATTCATTTAAGTATCAGTATCTCAATGAATTAAGAACACTTTTTTTTAAAAATGTGGTTGGATATGATGGAGAATGATCCCCAGAATCAAGCTAAAGCACCTTGCAGCATATTGGATTGATTGTATTTGAGCTTATCCTAGACCAGTGGCAGCCAACCTGTGGCCTGCGGGCCAGAAGTGGCCACGCACCCTCCCCCAAACAATCGCACAAGTCCAGGTAAATCCGTGTTCAATCAGTAGTATTTATGGCATAAATCAAGAAATATTCAATCAAGAAAATGCCTTTTGTTGGCCAACCATAAAGGCTGGCCACCGTTGTCCTGGACTGAAGGAAGAGGCAGTCTTTCTGGATAATAGTAATTAAAATCCCTGTCTCCACTGCATAGGCCATTATGTGGTAAATCTTACCATTTTCACAGGCAGGACCTTGCCAGTGATGGTTCCGTGCTGCGAATGGAACTCCTGAACACGGATAGTGTTCAGGATGTGGTGGTTCATAATCTCTCCAGGTACGCTCATGTGGCACCATGTAGCTGGGCATCTGAAAGACACAATTTAATGATTTATTTTTTCCCGCTCCCAACATTTTTTAGCAGAAAGAAGAAATATGCAGTAATAACTTTCAGGTTGAAATTCTTAAGTAGTCTGGCTTACTTGGGTCTGCAGTGAGGAATATGTAGATGGCACAGTGTAGGAATGATGGTTTATTAGGATCTGTGGTTCTTCTAAGCTCATTTGTTTTGCTCCTGCTGATATAAACAAACAACAAAATGGCAATCTGAATAAGAGTATTCAATCAGTTCAAGAAAGTTGCACAAAATTACTGCTAGAAATTATCATAATAATAACACTCCTTGCATTTGGAATAGTGCCTTATCACATCATTGAGACGTCACAAAACGCTTCAAGGATATATCGCAAAAGTGGATTGAAAATATTTATTTTGTAGGTGAAAGCGAAAGCCAATTTGCGCACAGCAATGTCCCACAAACAGCCATGGAGCAGTGATCAATTTTATTTTAGTTTTATTTGGGTTGATTGTTGCCCAGGACACTGGGAGAAACTCCCTTCTCTTTTTGAGTAGTGCCATGGGATCTTTAACGTCCACCTGAACAGGCAGTCGGGACCTCGGCTTAATGTCTCATGTGAAGGCAGCACCTCCGACAATGAAACACACTCCCAGCAGTACATTGGAGTGTCAGGTTAGACAATGTGATTCCAAGTCCCGGTGTGGGGCTTGAACCCACGACCTTCTGACTCAGAGCCAGGCTGACATATGAGACATGGAAGTCAAAATACATTCAAGGAAAACATAATCCACAAATGTTTAACATTACCTCCAGTGCAATCCACAAATCAAATTCTGATCAAAATAAGAGTAATTATTTACCTTTCTTTGCTCCTTCTGGTACAATTCTGTAGACTTTATATGGATCTGAGATGTCAAGCTGACTACGATCCACCAATTCTTCAAAATCATTGCTCTTATTCAAGGCACATCTCAGCCTGGTCTTCCAGGTGGGAGGATCTGGCTTGTCAAACCCCTCACGAAATTTGCCTTTGAAAAGTGCCCAGGCCTTGAAAAGAAACAAATTAGAAATAATTTGATCAGCAAACCCACTAACATTTACTCAGCTTCACACTCAGCAAATATCAAACGCATGCATCTTGAACAATAATCATCTACCATGCTATCATAAGAGTACAACATTGATGATATCGATGCTGATACTGTTCAGCATAATGCTACTATAAAGCATGGATTGAAGTAATTCAGGAGAACTGTTACTATGGAGACTATGAATAATTTGTCAAAATAAAGTACTTATTATAATGTGCAAAACGCATCACAACAGTGACTTATGTGTTGATTTTTAAGGTTTTGCTGGTTAGATTGCTAAACTATATTTCACAGCTAAACCTCTGGGTATTGTCTGCACACATAATAAACTGCAAAACAGTTAAATGAAAGCTGATTTCCTCCTAACTAATTCACCATTGATGTAATGATGCAACCAGTAAATGGGCACTGAAAAACATGAGGACCTCATTCTTGATCACCTGTCACTTAAGTTGACCATTAATACATCTTCCAAGCAAAAGTGTGCTGTGATAAGTGACCTTTTTACTCTTCAAAATCTTTTTTTTGCAATAATAACAATAATCTTTGATCAGCAAGCTACTGGTCATGATTGACAATATCCTACACACAAAACCACAAGCAAAAGCTATCTATGTTTGTAGGTTACTGGTTTATAAAACTACTTGCAAGAAAGACAGGTTGTTATCTATTGGAGCAAATATATATTCAACTGCAAGAACATTTCAACCAGAAATGCACTTATACATGTCTCATAAACACAGCCACATAAGTAATGCATTTTACACTGCAACATACCCACCAATGAAAATCTGGACACACAATTATATTAGGAAATTGTGCAGCCTTCATTTACCAGTGAACCCAAGGTCATTTTCATTTCGAACCAGCAACACCCTAGAAATCTTTTTCTTAAAACATATTATCCGCAGTGAACAATTCATGAATCGTGATGAGGTACTTTACCTACAATCGTTACATGCAAAGAATCACTCTGGGTATCATGCAATGCTGACCACTTAGTGCCTGCACACATGCACCTAAAACTCATGTCATTTTCTTAGCGGTGATGTGGTTTCCCGAACAAAAAACATGTGCCTCGATGGCCGTGTGAACACCAGAGAATATTCGTGCACACCCACTTGATTCTCTATTTTAGCAGCTTTCCTGAAAGTAAAGGCGATGCCGGGCAGAGTGTAATAGAAAGCGAGAAAGGTACAGAATAAGCATATCTCAGTGCCTGACTTAAACTGAGCCATCGGTAGGTGAATCAGACACATTATATACCATCGCCCTTCAAGTGGCAGTGTTCACTGATCAGAATTACATACATAAAGGAGCCCAAAGCATTCGTGCACCGTGATTTGACAAGTGCCTGTGATGGTCCTTTTACAGACTTGTGTTAAAATCTCGTGGCTTCAGGCGAGCGTCTTAAAGCCGCTACAGAGCAAACCCTGGGATGGCAGAGAAGGTGCAGGGAGAAAAGTTAGAGAGAGGGAAGGAGGGAAGGAGGGAGAAGATACTGTGAACATGTCCAATCATACGACGATCAACGAGTTACCCATGTTAACATGTGGGAGACCAGAGAACATGTGAACAGACAGACAGGTTAGTGCACTCTCACACACTCACACTCGGGAACATTATTCAGTGGTTATATCAAAGCGGATCTTTCGACTTCACAACATTTAACAATCACAGATGAGGCAGTGGATAACTCTGGAAAACTAATGGGCAACTACGAAAAATGCACGTTTGATTCTGAGCTGATTTTTTCCCCCAAAAAACACCCAAAGTGACTTATAATAATACAAGAATAATCCTCGCATTTGACAGAGCGTTTTTTTTTTTCACGTCCTCCCGGACGTCTCAGAGCGCTTCACAGGATACGCCGCACAGTGAATCGGGACCGTTGTTTGCGGGCGATTCAGACACGAACCCCACCAGAGAGTGGGGAGTCTGAGATGTCTCGGGGGAAGGGGGGGGGGGGAGGGGGGGGGGGGGGGTGAGAAAATCGCTGGTAAAACGCGAGAAGAGGAAACTGCACATTAAAAGTAGAAGTAAAAAGAGAGCGATTGAAACAAAAGAGGGGCAAAGCAGAGGGTGAGCAAAAAGCCTCGCCCCCCATCCCATCCCACTCCATCCCATCCCATCCCACCCCACTCCATCCCATCCCATCCCACTCCATCCCACCCCATCCCACCCCACCCCACCCATCCCACCCCACCCACCCCATCCCATCCCACCCACCCATCCCATCCCACCCCACTCCATCCCATCCCATCCCACCCCACTCCATCCCATCCCATCCCACCCCACTCCATCCCACCCACCCCCACCCCATCCCATCCCATCCCCACCCCACTCCATCCCACCCCACCCCATCCCACCCCACCCCACCCCATCCCACCCCACCCCATCCCATCCCCACCCCATCCCACCCCACCCCATCCCACCCATCCCACCCACCCCATCCCATCCCACCACCCACCCCATCCCATCCCACCCCACCCCACCCCATCCCCATCCCACCCCACCCACCCCATCCCACCCCCGCCAACCCCTTCGGGTCCTCTGCCTTTACCTTGAACAGCGCTGCGTCCTCGTCGCGGTTGTAGTCCTGTTTCCCGGCGTGTTTCCAGGGGATGCGAAAAATGCTCTTCTCCTCGTTCTCCCAGATCAGACCCGGGTATTTGCCGCTGTCGATTTGCTCGATCAGCCACTGTCGGAGTTTGCCGTTTCCGGAACTCACTGGGGCCATGTTGCAATCCGTGTCTATGTTCATGTCTGTTTTTCACTGCACTGCACTGCACACACACATACACACACAGACACACACAGAGACACAAGACGCATCGTAAGCGCACAGCGGGTCGCAGCAGGTGCCAAACATTAGATTGCAACCCCACCCCCCCCCACCCACCCACCAAACATCACCCCCCCCCCACACACACACATGCACATCACACACACACACGCACACACATCACACACACACACACACGCACACACATCACACACGCACACACATCACACACACACACACACGCACACACATCACACACGCACACACATCACATCACACATCACATCACACACACACACACACACACACCCCAAAAAAAAATATCCCCAACTCTGCAATGACTGGACTGATCCTCAGGGGTCTGCACTACGTGAATAAATCACACGAGTCGCTCTGCGGGAGACTCCGGAGAGCAATGCACCACCAACTGCAGTAAGAGGCGACTTCTGTTTCTCTCTCTGTCTTTCTCTCTCTGTCTTTCTCTCCCCCCCCCCCCCCCCCAAAAAAAAAAAAGTTTTTGAACAAATAAACCGATGCTGTGTGTGTGGTGTGTGGGGAGGGGGGGGGGGGGGTGGGGGGGGGTCAAGAGTGTGCAGATCCCCTGCGCTCACACCCACCCACAGCCCCACTCGCCAAATCCCCTCTCAAACAGATCCATCCCGAACTGCTCCAACACAGTGTCACTCACCCAATCGTTGAGCCGGACATGGACCAAATATACCCCACTCACACCCCACACACACCCACACCCCACACACACACCCCACCCCACACACACCCCCACCCCACACACACACACCCCACCACCCATCACCCCCCACCCCCCACTCACACCCCACACACACCCCCACCCCACACACACACACCCCCACCCCACACACACACACCCCACCCCACACACAGACACCCTCCACCCCACACACACCCCACCACCCATCACCCCACACACAGACACCCCCACCCCACACACAGACACCCCCCCACACACACACACACCCCCACCCCACACACACCCCACCACCCATCACCCCACCCCACACACACCCCACCACCCATCACCCCCCACCCCACACACAGACACCCCCACCCCACACACACCCCCACCACCCATCACCCCCACCCCACACACAGACACCCCCACCCCACACACACCCCCCACCACCCATCACCCCCCACCCCACACACACACACACCCCACCCCACACAGACACCCCCACCCCACACATACACCCCCCACCCCACACATACACCCCCCACCCCACACAACACACACCCCCCACCACCCATCACCCCCCCCCCTCCCCCCCCAAAAAAAAACTTTTAGCAATATTAGCAGTTATCTGCGATGGTGCGTCCTGTCGCCTTACCTTTGGTATCTTATGTGTGACCCGGGTTTAAAGTTAGTTTGGACTCGTTACGACGTGGCAGATCCACTCGACACACAGAGTGCGGATAAGGTCTCCCGGGTGCGTATATATTGAAGCCCGGGGGCAGAGGGCGGGGTCGAGGGCTGAGGGGGTGGTGTCAATCGCACAGCCCCCACTTGGGGTTTTTTTTTTTAGCAGAAGCTCACGCGAAATGGGAAACGCCGCTCTTTTGCGGGTCCCACAGCACAGCACCGACCGACCGACCGACCGACCGACAGCACCGACAGCACCGACAGGACCTGGCGTTGCGCCTCTCACTTAAACCATTACCGGTCACGTCGACCCCCGTCTTAATAAAACACGGGGCAGAGACTTGAGAGCGGTGTCTCCCCCCTCTCTCCCCATTACGCGCGACCAAAGTGATGGGCAATCCGGAGGGAAGACCCCCCCCCACCCCCCCCCCCCCCACCCCCTCCCGGTGATATTTCCCGGTGTCAGGTCAGCACTGAGCCGGGCAGCGAGGGGCGGCTCAGCCCCCACCCACCCACCCACCCGCACCCCCACCCCCACCCCGCACCTGCCTTTGCTCTGAGCACTTTACACCCAAAGCGATGCCATTCACACCCTCGGGCGGCAGTGCTGGGGGGCACGGTGCTGGGGGGCACGGTGCTGGGGGGCACGGTGCTGGGGGGCACGGTGCTGGGGGGCACGGTGCTGGGGGGCACGGTGCTGGGGGCACAGTGCTGGGGGGCACGGTGCTGGGGGGCACGGTGCTGGGGGGCACGGTGCTGGGGGGCACAGTGCTGGGGGGCACAGGTGCCGCAAACCGTATATGCACAGCTAAAGTGGGACAGAGTCTGGATCTGGAGTGTACAGGAGGTCGCCCCCTCCCCATTGAAGTGTCCCAGTGTGTCCCCCTCCTGCCACGAACCCCCCCCCCCCCCCCCCCCCCCCCCCCCCCCCCGAACAAGCGCCGGCTGTTTGTTGGCCGCTGACACCCCCCTCTCGGACCTACACTTTCTTCCACTGCAACCGGTCAGTGCGGATGACCTCTCTCTGACGCCGACCTTCAGCCCCAATTCCTCACGGTTACGGTTTATTTGTCCCGAGTTTGCATGAGCTGCGTTTATGAAGCCCTCTCAGCAGCTTTGGAGACTGCTGTGATTGAGGGAGACTTCATTTTTCAGCAAAACTACGTGTGCCACACACTATATATCTGTAATATATATAAACCTTCTTGCATCAGTAATATAGATATACATATATCTCAGGAGGTGTATTTTACTGATGCAGGGAAGCTTATATATACTGCATATATATACATATACATATATATATATTACTGGTGTAGGGAGGTGCATTTTCCTAGGCTTAATGTTGCAAAAGTATATATATAAATATATATATATATAAATATATATATATATATATAATATATATATATATATTCTTGTTATGTATAAATCGCACAGGTTCCTATGTTACCGTGGACCCACTGGATGGCGGGTGTCAGTGCAGAGCTCAGCAATCAGTACGCCACCTCCTGGGAACTGTGCTGCACTCTCACATCTGCTCCGGCACTCGTTTCTGTTGTGGGACTTCAGTGATAAGAACCGAGACTCGTCGCAAAAATACACAGTCAATGAATTCACTTCGCAGCGCATTCCGTGAAGCGCTTTGAGACTTCTGGACCGACCCGCCGAGCCGCCAAGATCAACTGCAATGATTTTATTTTGATATTATGCTGTGCTCCTCTGACCCCAGCATTCATATCAAACCAGATGTGAAGCGTGTCTTTTCAGTTTCATCAACAGCCAGATGCAGGAATTAGTGGGGGTGCATATTATTTAAAGCGTTTAAAACGCAGGATTGCATGTGTTGTCTTTAAAAAAAAGACTACATTTTTCATTCGGTGTTTTGCTTTCGAAGTTCAAAGCACAGTACGTACACATAATAAAACACCAAGCTTTCCCTTGACGATCAGTTTCAATTCCAAAACGGAATGGACCTTGTCCGGGTTCAACTCGTTGTGGGAAAGCTGATCAATCATTTTCTTTGCAAACATAATTATAAAGTGGGGAATTATAAAATGGTTCATGTCTAATTTTGCGACGCTCCACTTGCATAGCTGCTGTGACTTTTGTACATGATAATAATCCTTGCATTTGATATAGGGTCTTATTATGTCTTCGAGGCATCTCAAAGCGCTTCACATAATATACCCTAAAGTGAATTGACTGTATATTTTGTGGGCAAACCGTACATAATATTGTAGTAGCATAAGAATCCCAATGAAGAGGTCAGTTGCAAACTGATTTGAGTTATCTTGTGTCAGTGACAGTATCCTTATTCGTTTCACCATCAAGAGATCAATTCAGATTCCAAATAGAGCAACTTTTTTTCTGATATTGACCCACACGTTGGACTAATTGATCGAAGGAAGTCCGAGCATTTCCCTTTCAAAAACCTTTAACCAGCATTGGTTTTATTTGCTTGCGTTTATTTTTTTTTGCAAAGCCTGTTTTCGGTTAGATTTGTGTTTTTTTTTAAAAAAAACCTGTCATTAAATATAATGGCCATTCTCCTGATGCATGGAAACATTTGGCCAGTTGTCTTTGAAACGTAAAAGAGAAAAAAAAATAGGGCAGGTTAGGAGTTGTGCAATATTTAAAGGTGAAGAAGATCAATAACAGAAAATATGACCAACTCTCAATTTTTTTTTACAGCAATATTTCCCGATTATAAATATGACTAATAGACAAAACCAATCCGCCCCTCACACAGATATATATAGTAACAAAGAGCAAGAGAATACACTCGTTGCATCGACTTAAGATTTTTGGAAACTAATTGCAAGCGTTGATCCCGAAATCTCCCTCCCCTTTGCAGCACAACAACAAAAAAAAGAAGTGTGGGCACGTTAACCTTTTTTTTTCCTTGCAGGAAAAAAAGCAGAATGCTACGGGGGCTGATTTTTGTGGCACATTGAGATGTGTTGCTTATTGGGAGCAGCTGAAGTTGGGGGTGGGGGTGGATGGGGAGGGGTGAGGGGGGGGGTAAGTTCCTTAAAATGCCCTGGTTTTCTGCTTGGTCTGTTGTGGGCAACCCTGGTCGCTGGGCACCAGAGAGAGAGAGAGAGAGAGAGAGAGAGAGATCTGAAAGCTGATACCATTGCTGGGGCAGGTACAAAAATACGGTCATGACTACTAGCAAACAAGGAACTGCAAAGTATAGTTATTGAGCTGCAGTGCAATCGGAAACTTTAATCGCCTTTATTAGCGTCGCACCTTTGCAATTCAAGTAAATCACTGTTGCACAGTGAGTTCTCATTTGAGAAGGGTTTGCGTTCACTGTGCATTCGTGTCGCTTTCGGAAGCCCCTTTTTTTTGGGGGGGGGGGTGGGGGGCAAAATGAGCTCTTTTTTGTGTGTGTGTGTGTGTGTGTGACCAACAGCGAATTGGGCTGATCGCCTCTGGTTATTGTGGACGATCCACCCCGAGCGCTGAAGCCACAGAGAGGGGATCAGCGGTGGTACCGAAGATGCCAAATGCTAAAAATAGGCAGAGAAGTCAAAACAAATGCTCCAACGAGAATTTTGCAAAGACACCTACGTTTCCATTCAGTTTCCACTTCGCTACCGGTTGTGACACGGTGGCGCCCACCTTTCTGCTGCAATAATTCCTGAGGTCACATCGCACCAAATCAAAAAAAAAAGTACAGAGAAAAACAGGAAAGAGAAGCGAGTGTGCAAAAGGAACACACCTGCCTTTGTTTTGTGACAATACAACTGTTGGCCCCCCTTTTTTTTTATTCAACAGGTCTCTTTTCCCAGCCTCGCAAACAATGTTTTGCTGATTTAAATTCCCTCCTCCCCTCTCATCCCTCCAAACCAGAGCTGTTTGTGGACGTTGACCACTCTTGCTGGATCTGTTGTAAAATTCTCCCAGGGGAAGGGGAGGGGAGGGGAGGGGTGGGGGGGGGATGGTGGGGGTAGTGAAAAAAACTATTGTTGCAGTTTCCAACAATAGTCACCAACTTTATAGAATTGTGTTGAAAGGTTTATTACTGTCCAATGCACAGAATCCAGAGGCAAAACTAACCCAGAGCGTTAGATATTAACACACCGTGGTTTAATCTCTCCCAGCACAAACTGCAATTTAAAGCACACGAAGGTTTCACACTGTTTGGTTATGGAACAATATTACTTCCCTTGTGGTCTTTCATCTTTCGTAACATATTATTCTCAGGTATTAAGCGTGCATGAAAACAGAAACCCTTTCTAAATAAACACCACCGTTGCTGCAACTGATACTGTGTCTCAGAAGGAAAGGTGAACTCTTTTCACTTACCGCAGACTGCGGTGTCCTGAAGAGTGAGTGAACGCTTATCACTGGGATTGAATGCAGTCCGAATGGCTACACGCACACACACGAAGACTGAGCAAACTTGACCGATTCAGGAATTGCCCACATCAGAGCCACAGGTCATTCATTAGGTTTGATGAGACCGCGTTTCCTGCCGTTCTCAAAAGATCAATTTCAAAAGGTTAGACAAGTCGCAGCTTTTTACAGGGATTTTTTTTTCAAGAACATTGCTCATCGCTCTTCTTTGAATGTACGTTCAATTAGTCACAATTCTCATAAAGCAGTTAATGTGGGTTACTCCTATAGGTTTCTAAACTCAGCAGTTAATTCACTGATATATTGCCATTTACAAAGCTGCGTCAAGGAAATCCTAAGTAATGTTTTAAAGTCTGCTCCATCATTCCCTATTGAGTTTTCCTGTTAAAATCCGAATAACGTGAAATATTATTTTACGTTTCTAGACCAGTGTATTGGTACCCAAATGATCTGGGTCTATATAACCCTTTCTTTGAATATTCAGGGCAGAATCGATTTTATTTCCCAATTTCTGTAAAACAGTTTAAACATTTATACGAGGTGTGAAAGCTATATCTTAGGTTAAACGCCATTCGCTACACCACCCAATTGAGTTCGAGATAAACTGCAATAGGTTTGTTGGAAATAACAATGGAAAAAAGAAATGCCAATCTACTGAGAAGGGGGTTCTCAAAA